GAGAGAGAGAGAGAGAGAGAGAGAGACAGGTACGCTGCAACCACCCCGACAAACACCCCCAGAACACCCAGACCCCCCCCACCCCACCCCCCCAACCCCATGCAAAAAAAAATTTGCACATCATGTTTTCTCTGCGGATTTGGGGAGATCTCGACAAGCGCAGTCCAACCCCATCACCAAAACAAAAAAAAAAATAAAAAAAAATTGACCCGGTTTTGGGCCCAACCGGAATTCCGGTCCAGGCCAGTCCAACCAACCACCCCGGCTGGGACCGGTCCGGTCCAACCGGCCGGTGGCCGGTGCAGCCCTGCCATATAGTCCTTTTTTTTTTTTTTTTTCCTTTTAACAAAGCCGTCTCTTCCATTACCAACATGACAAATAAACTGAGGCCGGGGACCTCACAATTCAACCCGGAGTCATCCCGGCGGCATCAGCCGGTTTAGCTTAGGAAATATACTGTCTCGAATGCAGATATGATAAACCTCTTCAGTCGTAGAGAAGCTAATCGTCACCAACCACCTGCTTGATTGTTTCAAGAGCGCTTGGTGGAGAGCGCCACCTGCTGGAAACCGGGTCCAGCGGCCCTTGAATACAACAATGCACATCAGTGATGAGGCTACCCACCCGCACCTGGAAGTTGTCTGCTGATGAGCGACACCTCCTGGAAACCGGGTCCAGCGTCCCTTAGATACAACAATGCAGATCAGTGATGAGGTTATAGTCACTGTTCTGTTGTACTCTGGAGCACCCATTATGAGGCTGTAGTCATTGATCTGTTCTACTCTGATCTACTCTGGAGCACCCAGTGTCCCTTGGAGCTGCAAGTAGTCCCGTTCCCATAGCGGTGCTCCCACTTTACATCTGACCCAGCCCCACCTGGAAGTTGTCTGCTGATCTTCCCGAGGCTACTCCCAGGTGTTCACAGCCCCTCTTGTGTTTCTGGCTGCATTCTCCCTGCATTCTCTCTACTAGATTTGACTGTATGTGATAATCTTAAGCCGTTCTTCAGCCCCTAAGACTGCCTGAGGTGGTGGTAGGAACAGACACTACAAGCTGACTGTGGGCGGCTTCATGCAATGGTGAGGAGCAGCACCTGCTGGGAAACAGTCCCAGATTCCTGTTTCAGTCTACGCGAAATCTGTGAACAGAGCATGATCCTGGCGATGTAGGCCCGTGCCTTAGCCGAAGAGAGCCCCATCTTGTCAGTCCTCCAATTGGTGCTCCCTTCCTGTAGGATTTGTAGTTTGAGTGCTGGCCATCAGTGGAGCAATTATCATGCCTCTGCTTTTGCCATCTGAGTCGGACAGCTGAGATCAGGTGCATGGCAGTTGTAGTGCCTTCAGACCAAAGGGCTCCGGGGGTTGAGGAAGCTGAGGGGACTCGGCTCAGATGGGGAGGGGGCTGCAGGGGAAGGGAGGGGGGGGAGGGGGAGGGGGAGGACGAGGGGGGGTAGTCCGAGGTACATGGAGGCATGAGTTGGGAAGGTGGTATGGGGAGGCATGAGATCGCCTGGGGGGCGAGAGGGGGAGGGGTGTGTTGAGAGTGGTTGACGAGGATGAAGTTAGTCTGAAGGTACAGGACTTGGAACTCCTCTCTCGGTCTCCTCTGCCAGGTGTGTTCTGTGTTCCTCCAAGGTTTCCATCGGATGTCCAGACCCTCGTCCAGGTCGCTGAATATAGCCTGTGGATCTTGCCATAGCTGCCTCAAGGTAAGTAGGATGGCTGCTTTGGCTTGAGGTTCTTTCTCCTCCCAATAGTCGTTCTTCATGGTCTTCCATGCTTCTTGGGTATGGGATCTGATCACCTCTTCCACCACCTGTTGCGCTTGTTGTAATCCAAATTGATGGTCTCTCCTCTCAAAGGAGGATCTTGACCGCCATGCCAGCATAAGGATGTGCAGCCTGGCGTATGTGAACAAATTGACTGCGAACGGGGACCACTGGGTCAGCAAGTGTTGGTTCTTGCCCAGCAGGAGGAGGCCCAGATCCCATGGGATGTGGACCGAGGTTAGGAAGTGGAAGGCTGCATCCCACCACTGCCAGATTTGGACGACCATCGGGCATGCCAAAAGGCAATGTTCCAGGGTCGCTCGGGCCGTGGGAGTAGACCTTCCGCAGTAGGCGCAGATAGGTGATAGGAGACCTCGCCGCTCTAGCGTAGATCTGTTCACAAGCCAGTCAGGTGTGGGGAGACAGCGGTGCAGGATTTGCCTTTGCAGTGATCTGAGATTTGTTGGCATACATATTTGGGCCACAGGAGGTCCTGCACGAGGGCAGGATCGAAAGGCGAGTCTCGAGCCCATCTGTCAGCTATAATTTGGGTGATAGGCTGCTCTAGGCATGTAGCTTTATATCGCCCTTTTACGGTATAATCCCATATGTGCATTGGATTTCTGCCTGGCCATTCCCACTCCAGGGGGTCGAAGGGGCAGTGCTGCTACGGGGGTTGACTGTTCGTAAGCGTATAGCCCATCTTTGAGGTCGCCTACCACTCTTATTAGCATCAGGCCACCCCACATCGCCTTGCAATCAAGGTCTTCGTTTCATGTTAATTTTGAGAATCTCGCCCCCGACAATTGGGGTTCATGGGCTTCCAGGGTGCATAGTCCTTGGACGTTAGTGAGCACCCTGTAGACCAGGAGTGGACGGGGGAGGTCTGTGTACTTGACGACCCAGTCATCTTGCTGCACTGATGGTCCTTTTTTGAGAGCAAGTTGCCAGGCAAGTGGAACGGCCTCCCGCAATCTGGCCAGTTTGCCTTCCACATTTTTTACGTGTTTCAATTTATATCGGAGATGATCAGCAGCCACCCACTCCCCTCTCACTGCATCCCAGAGGTCGCCTATTTTAAGAGTCCTCTTTTTGCCCATATAGGCCAGAGGGAATTTGTCGTCAATGAGAAGGGGCTGCCTGTTTCGTCCAGAATAAGCGGGTTTCCAAATAGAGGTTGTTGCCACATATCTTGCCATCTGTTTGGCGGTTGCTTCTGATTCGGCCTTCGGCTTCTCCACATTTTAAGCATGTTTGGCCAGAGTGGGTCTCGTGATATGTCCAATTTAGTTTCTTGAGCCGGGTTATCCGCCTATCTATGCTGAGCTGAGGAGGGTATGGACCAGTGAGCATTGGTGAGCCATTGAAAGGGGTGCACTGTGCTTGGGTCTGCTGATAGTGCAGATGCTGGGGCCAGGTTACAGATTTGCAGACAGGCCAAGTGTGCCCAAGGGATATCATTACTGATCAGGAGTCTGACCAACACTTTAACCTCACCCTATTCCTAGACCCCCTTTGGCCCTAGGCTGTGTAAGAATGTCCCATTTGACCCGATTTAAACTGCGTTGGTCCTTTGTGTTGTTCTTCCACAGATGGGATGTTAGGGCTCCCCTGAGCCTACCCAACTGCTTTTGGTTTAAAGGCCACACATCCAGTTTGTACCAGATTGCTTCCAATACAGCATTATTGATAGCCAGCGCCCTACCTACCAGAGATGTGTGCAGGCCCTCCCATCGACCCAACCGATCTACCTATAGGTCGACTAGCAAGTCACCATGATCCAGCGGAGGGCCAAGCGCTGTAAGTTTCAGCTGCATTTGGGGTGGAAGCCTAGATCTGCTCTAGACTTACTCCTACCGGAAAACCGACCGACGGCAACCCCTGGAACCATTGAATTTGGTGTCCAGTATAAGAAACTGTTGCAGCGAGCATATCAGAAAGTCTCAAGTGGCAATGATTGCCTCTGAGAACAAGCATAGGCGACAGTCCACATTCCAGGTAGGGGAACGCGTCTGGGTGAAGTCTAGTGAACAAGGACAAGAGTTTGGCATCTCTAGGAATTTAATGCCGCAGTACTTTGGTCCATGGGAAGTCCTAGACATTGTGGGTAGTGATTTAGATGGTCCCTCGTACGTCATCAGAATCCCTGGCACACTTACCCTGTATTTCACGCTTCCAAACTTGCACCTTTTCTTCTTTACTTTGACCCTGTCATTCTTTTTTCCTTCCTTCCTCCCTTCCTTCCTTTCTTTCTTCTTTTCTTTGACTCTGTCAGTCTTTCATTTGTAATAAAGTTCCTTAAACTTCCTTTCTTTTTTTTTTTTTGCCAAAACAACACAGCCCCTTCTGTTCTGGGAGGCGTCCATCTAGTAGCTTATCACTGGCAACCATGTGTTTGTACAAGCAATGAGGGGGAAAAGACAAGAGGTTCATGTGGCACTGGATTTCTTTCTTTCTCAATTTCTTTCCTTCATTGTTGTGGGCATTGGATTTCTGGTTTAATCGGGAACTGGCATTATAAGAATCATGTTATCTGGTGACTGTTTCCCTTACAGGAAATGATGCAAGCGGCATCTCATTGTTATAATAAGCCCAACAAGACTGAAGACTGCTACGAAGCATGCAATGCTACTTCGACTTTGCTTTATGATTGTCTTCGTATCAGAAGTGACGAAGTGAGCAACAATGTTTCATCCTGGCCAGTATTATATATTTGTGGTGCGTCTTCATCGGTTTGGCTGATTGGGACCACCACAGCCATTGCCGCACTCCTTCCAACCATCTTTTTGCCTCTCCAACAGTGTTGCACCCCCCGACGGTCCGCGGCCCTTGACTGGTCAGCTGCCGACCCGCCGACCGATTGGCTGGTCGACACCTACCAGTCCGGCGTCGTCGGCACCCCGCAAAAAAATAAATAAATAAAGAAATAAAGAAATATTAAATAAATAAATAAATAAATAAATAAATAAATAAATAAATAAATAAATAAATATAGTCAAACAGAGCTGCCCGGTAATATATATATTGGGGGGGTCCAGAACCCCTAATAACACCACCAACACCCCCAAAGCGGGCCCCAATACCCCCATACACCCCCCCAACACCCCCAAACCACTCCCAACACCCTTATTACCCCCCCCAATACCCCCTATATCACCCCTATACCCCCCCTATACTCCAACCCCAACCCCCCCATACCCAAAAGTTTCTCAGCGGATTTGGGCTGTACTCAGCAAGCGCAGTACAGCCCCAAACTCAGATTTGAAAAAAAAAATCAGTGGATGGTTGTTTTCTGACTGGTCGGCAGACTGCCGACCGGTCGGCCCTACTGGTCGGCTGCAATACGGTTGGCGGTCGGGGTCGGCGGTCGGCAGGGATGCAACCCTGCTCTCCAGTGTCTTGACTCTTGACTCATCAAGGCATCCCAGTAAATCTCACCAGGATGGGAGGAGAAAACGAGAAAAATCAACGTTAGTCCAAAGGAGAGCTACATTCAAAATACTTACTTTGATTGACAGGTAGTTCAAGCTATTCACTGGGCTGCAGCCGGACCAAATGAAAATTAACATTCCTCACATTAGCGCAAAGGTATGGGCACAAATACCGATGCACGCAGATTGAGTGTATGAAGCTTGATGTAGTGAAGTAAGTGCCATCATGTAAGTGAAGCCATTTTGGGATAAATTGATTATAAAATTATATAAATCCATTCACTAGTGTCCTTTTTGGACAGGAGTAAGTTGCTGATGTTATTATATCCAACAGCAGGTCACCTAGGATTTGAACACTAGCATCGATGGACGCGTCCAGCCCATGGATAGCACGTCCGCCGAACATACGGGAGGAACAAAAGTGAAAAAAAATGAAAGTGTTCCTGTAGTTATCCTCCAAATCAAACTTTGTCTTTTTTTCGTTTTTTTTTTGAAGGACAAAAAAGTTGAAAAACCTTTTATATTCTGGGGGCCATCCAGTCTGGTTAGGTTTATTTTTATTTTTATTTTTTTTATTAACAGGTCCTTATGGATCTGGTTCCATATCCATTCTGGAGAGCATCCGGTCGGGGCCTATTCCACCGGCAAGTCAGAATGGAATATTACATCATGAAACACACTCATGGTTCCTTCCGTCGGGCCGAAGGAACCCTGACCAGCATTGATTACTCCAGCATTGTGGAGGATTGACTGTCAGGTTGCCTTACTTCCACCTCTCCTCTCAGGTCCACTGCATGAACCTGTGAGATAAATGATAAAGAGCAAGAAAGGTAAAAGGAGCTACGGAAGATGCAATCTCGGAATTTGCCCTTCAAGATTACATGGCCTGTGATGGATCTTGTCCATCTCCTGGCTGGGATCTCTGGCTTCTCCATCCTGCTTTTGAATTGTGCCAGTCTTTCCACCGTATGCGGAAGTCATTTATCTCTGCCACTTTGCCCCCTGCGAGCCACACCTTAGTGAATTTTGCCTTGATTCTTCTCTGTTGCTCTTCCTCATCTGGCATGGAGTGTCTCATCTTTGAAAGGCATTCCACGATGCTGAAACGGTTTTCACCTTTTTTGCAGACACAGATGCGGATCCCAGGGCTCGATCCCCAGACCTCACCTTACCTTACCTTACCTGTGTACAGTATCAAGTCGACCCTGTGAGTCTTGAACCCGTGACCTGACAGTGTGTGTTAGTAGCTGAAAGTTGTCTGTCGTAGGTCTTAGTTGTCGGGTCTTGAACCTTAGACCTGTCAAAGTAGGGGTCATACCTGCATAGGGGTCATAGTTGTTGAAGTTCTGAAAGGTCAAGGTCGTAGCTGCTACAGTCCTGAAAGGCCAAGTTTGCAAACTTCCAGAAGGTCCGGAAGTGGCCTTTCAAATTTCTTTTCACGTTATACACAGCAGGCCAGAGGCAAGTGGGCAAGTGGCGAGTCCAACTTCGCTTAGTCAGTGGTACCCAGTCCCAGTCTCACTTTGCACAGTCAGCAAGTACCATGAGGGACTGTGTGCACCACGGGCCCCGTGGAAAAGGGCAGACCAACGACCTACAGAAGTATAAATCAAGAGGCAACGTCCAGCCATTCATTCATTCCTGCGTGAGCCATGCGGAAGTGCTGCCCGAGCGTCTTGTGCGAGGTGGTCTGCAGATGCCCGAGGTCGAAGTGGGCTTGAAGGAGTCAGCACGCCATAGCTAGTGTTAGGTGTTAGTGTGTGTGTACGAGTGTGTGATACAGGGAATGTGTGTGGGGTATTCAGGGTGATCCGGAGTTGAGTGTGTGCGAACAGTGGTGCTGGACACAGTGTCGAGAGTTGGGATGTACAGGCGCTGATGCGCCATAGCCTATTGAAGTGAATTTGTGTTTGAACTGTGTTCCCGGTTTCCATATCTCTGAGCTTTGAGTGGGCGTTTGGCGCCAATGTGAATCGCCATCTGTTTGCATGTATGCGAAGTGAAGAAGAAAGCGTGTCTGATTGCATTGGTATCAGACTGGGATCCCGTTACTCCACGCGCCATCGCCGTTGTTGATAGTCAGGCGCCATAGCTGAAGCCACGCCATCGAAGGAGGTGGCCCGCCATAGCTGCGCCACTGAAGAAAGGTGCCGCCTACCTGCAAAGAAGACAACGAAGAGAGAGAGAGAGAGAGAGAGAGAGAGAGAGAGAGAGAGAGAGAGAGAGAGAGAGAGGAGCGATAGCAGATTGTTGTGCGGTCCAAGGTGGCCATAGCCATGGAGCTCGGACACGGAGGAAGAAGAAAGAAGACGAGTGAAGGACGGAGAGACGAAGGAGGAAAGAGAAGCCATAGCTGAGGAAGAGGAAGAAGGGACGACAAAGGAAGAAGAAAGACATAGTCGGGGTGAAGAAGGAAAGAGGGAGAAAGAGAAACGAGGGATGGTGAGACAGAAAGGGTCGGCTGCCATACCAGAGTCAAACGTTGACCAAGGAGTTTGACTTGGGCGTTGACCACGGTGTTGACCGGTGAGTTGACCAAGAGTTGACCAGCATTGACCGGAGCTGTTGACCGTGAGATTGACCAAGCTGGAACTGGTATATTCTCGCCAAGCCTTCAGCCTATTCCCTCGCCCTATGGATGTGCACTCACCCCATGGTACTTGCTGAGTCTGTCAATCTCTTCTTTCTGCATTGAGTCTCTTCTATCCAGGTGATAGGAACTCCGTCTATGAGGTCGTAGAGCTGCGTTGACAAAACCCACACGGGTTGAGTAGGGCTTAATTCCATGTCTGACGACAGACACGTCCCGGAGGACAAACCCTCCCAAGGACCGGTACAGACCGGTGGGCTGAACAGTGTGGCATGGGTGGCCCAAAATCTGAGTTGTGGGCTGCACAACCAGCTGCCTAAGTGTTGAGAGGACTGGCTGATCGCATCGTCCTGTTTGCGACGTTAAACAATTCCTGAGGAGTTATGGGGGATCTCCTTAAATGCCTCCTGATCAGCGCTGAAGTCCTGTAGTGACAACTTAGAAGTAGGTCTAGGCTAGTGACCATAGCTGATAGGGTTCTGAACTGGAGAGAAAGCCAGGTGGGACTGAACGCAGGTGCTGGGCATCTGGGTCTGGATTGTAAAGGACAGTGGTGGCGAAAGCTTTCGTCGGTCGTGGTAACCTGGCTGGATCAAAGGGTAAGGCTTTGTGGTCCTTAGACAGTCAGTCAGCCAGTCGAGTGGGTAGGTCTAAGTGGTGAGGAGTGGGACAGTTACTGTCGTGCACCTGACACCATGGACGATTACCCTATGCATGGCTTGCTCGTGGGGTTCTCCCTTTGGGGGACCCTCTGGTGTCTCCTCTTTCCGTTGGGGTTTTAGAACACCTTTATGTGTAGAGTAGAGACCAGGGGTGGTGTTAGTACCACTCCCTACACCAAGGCGCAGGAGGAGGAAGCTGAAAGAATCTTGGCCGAACAGAAGGCCAGAAAGGAGAAAAGGAGGTAGTGAAGCAGGCCAAGAAGTTGGCCTTGTTGCAGGAGCAAGCCGCACAGAAGAAGAAGTTGGAGGAAGAGTTGGAAAGGCTGAAGGAGGAGGAAGAAAAGTTGAAGGCAGTGGAAGAAAAAGAAGAAGAAAAAAAGGCAGAAGAGGAAGTTCCCCTGTTCAGAAAGAGTTTCAGGGACAGAGGGGAATCCAGTGGCACGAAGAAGGAGGAGTAATGGATGAGTTGGTTGTTGTCCCTGACCATGGGGTCACTGAGGTCCAAGTGGTCAACCTATTCTATTGTGCCATGCCCGAGCCTTTGCGCGGGCACTTCTTTGAGAAGAGCCAGGAATCTACCATGATCTACGATACTCTGAGTAGGGAAGTGGTAGCGTTTGAAGCACGGTCCATGCCAGTTTCCGCTTTCTGGCATAAGGACCTCGATAAGGGCAAGAAGTGGAAAGGTCGTACCATCTCGGGTCAGGTTGAGGGCAAGGATCACCTGATCCTTACATTAGATGAGGGTGGTATGGAACAGGTCCCCTATGATCAAATAGAGTGGGGCCTAGAGGAAGAGGATAGTGGTGATAGTCAGGGGAGGACTTACGCTACGATCGCAGCTGGAGGGAGGCCGCAAGGAAGAGGAGGAGGTCGGGGGCCAAGGGGGGCAGGCTTCCAGTGGTCGAGGACAGGGCGGTCAGGGGGTTGGTGGTAGAGGAGGCCGCCAAGGGGGAGGTAGGGGACAAGGTCCCCGGCGAAACCGCTTTAGTTTCAATCGATCACCTAGGAGGGGTGGATGGCACCCTGGTCTGC